CCCAGTAAGGACAGCCCTGAAGGGAAGTCGAGAAATAGGATAAAATAAAGTGACTTTCAAATGCATCAAGATAAAGTCTTATTACTGTGATAACCTTGGGTTTTGTTTTTTAAACATGTGGTTGATTTTATTTTGGGGATGAAAAGAGAGAGGATAAATAGGGCCATCTGTAAGAATCTGGCCTTTTAAAGAGCACAGCTTCTATTCTGAATTACGTTTGTCCAAGAGGATTTGCAATTTTTCTGCATCTTGTCATGGGAGGCAACCTTGGTGCAGCTGTCGACTTTTTGCTGCTCTGGAGGGAGTCGTTTTCCTGATTGACGATGTTCTGACTTTCATGGCATGACTGTATTGAACCCCCCTTTTCCTGTAGGTAGCTAGGCCGACTGCCACAGCTCCCTGTTCACTGTGTCTAAGCTCATTTCTTCCTCTGCCCAGCAGGGGTGGGTACAGTAATCCATCGTCCCTCCTAGAACATTGGAGAGGATTGCTGTGCTGAGGTGTCGGCACTTTGGGTGCTTTGTCCCTTAGAGATGATGGTATCTAAAGCTCTTGTTCTACTGTGTGAGTATTTAGGCCCAGCCCAGGGAAGTCATGGAAGTAGGATTAGAATGTAATTCTCTAGCTTCAAAGCAATGGGTGTTCCTCCTTGAGTTGTAATGAAGACTGAATCTTAACCTTTAGACAGTTGTTTGATACCTTTAACCAGGTTGCCCTAAAATAGAAAAAGGGTCCTACAGGTATTAGGCAAGAGCCGAGCAGGGGCTGCAGCCCCTCCATGTCTGTCTTGTGCTTATGGCCCCATTGGACTTCTTAGGATGGAATCAAAACCACAGCGACTTTTCATCTCAGCTGAGTGGACTGAGTGAACTGCCTTTGTGTGAATGTAGCTGCGTAGAAAGGAGGCCTTTCCCTTCAAACAATGACAGGTTACTATGGCCTGCCGGACACCCCTGTCTTGTTACAGGAAAGCCAAAGCTACCTTGATGACCCTGAGTCACAATTCAGTTCTTTACATCTTTCTGCTTTCAGTGGGACACACCGCATTTTCTTAAGAAGCCTGTCTCTGAGGTCATCTTGGAGTAATTTGGGGTTTCTGTAGCTAGCACGGCAGCCACTCGGCACTGCCCGGCTGGGGTTGGAGTTGGGGTTGGGGTTGGGGTTTGGCTGAGGTGAAGGCAGCAGCTGCCAGTCTCTCTCTAGCCAGGCTTGAAGGAGAAGGCTCGGGCTGCTGTCAGAGGCCTCCTGAGAGTGTGCGGTTGGGGAGGGACCGAGTGGAAGGACCTTTCTGTGGTCTAGGGCTGGGGATCCTGGTGTTTAGTGGCAGTGCCCATCATTCCTGTTCCTCCAGGCTGCTTAGCTCAGAGAAGCCTTGTTAATTAGGCAGTGTGGCACAGATTGGGGTGCAGAGACTTGGAGAGGAGGGGCAGCTTTCTGGCTGGTCCATATTGAGTGAGGGTTTGAAGCTGGGGCTCCTGACTCCAAATCTGGCACTTGTTCTCCTCCAGAGACTGTTTGCCTGCTGAGAAGACCCTTTCTCAGGGCTTTTCCTTAATGCTAGATGAAAACTGTTAAAGCACATGCTGGGGGTGGGGGTGCAGCGGTGTTGCCGAACTGTCTGTCAGGAGCCCTGCTGGCTGTCTTGGAAAACCACGTGTGAACATTATCTCTGTCCTAGTGTGTTCTTATTTGTTTTGTTAAATTGGTTTCCCTCCTACCTTTAAATCTGCTTCTGGTACCACTGGGGAGCGTGGCAGGGCCCTTGGACCTGGGTTCGATGCCCCTGTGTTCAAGCACTGTGAGTTGGGACTGCCTGGCACTGCCTGGTGCCTCTTGGGACCTCAGGCACCTGAAGAGTGTGACTCATGTATTGGTTAAAAAGCAGCAGCTGTTTGACTTTGCTTCCAGTCCCACCTTTACCCCCAGCCCATCTTCCCATGGATGGAAGTGTTGCTGCCGCCGCTGCCTCTGCCACCGCTGCCACCGCTGCCACCAACCGGGATTGCTTTGGGGAGGCTCTTCCAGAGCACTGAGCCTTGGAGGCAGCACAGACATCTCATTTCCACTGAGGCTGCAGAAGTTAAGGGATTGGCTTTTTGTTGGGCAGATGCTGAGTGTTGGTTTTCAGGGTGTTTTCCAGCATCCCCTGCTGGTGGATGTGACCAGTGTTCTGGGAGGACCCCCGGCCACATCCCCAGAAGTGGGGATTCTTTGATGAGGACGTTAGAGCCTCGAAGATTGTGTGAAGTTATTTGTATCCCCCTTGGTAATGGCAGAGACTCTAGGAGCCAGGTCCACCTGGTGTTTGTGCTTTAGATGAGCTGGGATCAGACTCTGGCCCTGCCACCTCTCTGAGCCTCACTTTCGTCACATGCACGATGGGATGGTTGAAGTAGATGACTTAATAATCCATGAATTTATGCTCATGTTGTTCCAGTTACTCACTTTTGGTCCCTCTTTTGGCTTTCTTGGGGCAGTGGGGCAGTGCTTGGCAGCACGTATCTGAAGGGGTTAGTTTCCTAGGCTTTTATCCTTCTACATTCTCACTGGACTTTTTCTCTTCTGTTCTTTTCTCTTGAGTCTCTCCTATCCAACTGTAGTCATGTTTCGGAAGAAGTAGCCTGACCTGTTTGGGTAAAGAACTCCCCCAAAAGCAATGAGTAGGAAGCAGGCAATTTTTGGCTTCCTTTGTGTTCTGGCCGCCCACCTGTAGAGCTGCTCTGTTTCTCCAGCACTTTGTAGTGTTTGGGTTATCCAAGGCCAGGCCTGCTCATTCTTGCTCAGTCTGATATTTGTGCCTCCGTTTTGGCTCTCTTTGTAGCCAGGTATTCCTAGGGCCAAGGAGATTTGTATGGTTGACATCTTTGAACCTGGGAAGGTGACTTTCAGCTGTGATTGTGTTTCCTTTCACAGGATGGGACCAGAGATATCTTTATCGATGGAGTTGTTGCTCGGAACAGAGCTTTGAATGGGGATGTGGTGGCTGTGGAGCTGCTGCCCAAGGATCGGTGGAAGGTCAGTTTGTCCCCCCTTTTTTCTCAGGCTTCTCCGGTCTTGTTCTGATCTCTGGAGCCTCCTTGGGCTGGAGAGTTGGGGCGGTTAAATGAGCCCGAGTCACAGCGAGACTGGTGGCTTGCCCGCCTGAAGGGCGTATCTCTAGCACGTTGGGACTTAAGGATTCCCCCTGTTTTCCTGATGCTTTTGCTCCTTCACTTCCTTGTCCTGCTTGTTTGTGAGGGAGAAGAGGAGCTTTTGAGAGCAGGCCTCGTTTTGTATGGCCCGAACTCACAGCAGGGGCTCAGGATGGAAGACAGCACTGGGGAATAGGCTTCCACGTCCATGCCCAAACTCTGCTGTGTGCCCTGCACCTCTGGAGGGTGATGATAGCAGTGATAACTCAGTCACTGAAAGGGTGTCGGCTGCTCTCTTAAGCCTCTCAGGTGCATTTTGGGGGCTCATCTACATTAGGGTAGTGAGTTTCCTCCTTGGGCATTCCCAACACCTGTGACATCCCATGTCTAGTAACAAAGGAGGAGGCTTTAAGGTTTTCAGAATGATTTTTTCCCACAATAACTTTGTGAACTAGAGAGTATGAGAATTGTTGTTCCCATTTAACATATGAAAAAACTGAGACTTGGAGAGGGTAAATGACTTGTTTCATGTCCAGCTAGTGTCTGAGGAAGGTCTCAAAACAGCTCTGATTGACTTCAGGGCCTTTGAACTGGTTCATCAGTTGGACAAGTCTCCCAGCTTCCTCATTTGTAAATGAAGACTCTAGAACACAGTTGGGTAAGTGGGCCTCTTTCAGCTCTGGTCCTCTGATCCTTCTGACCCTCTGTTAGCTTCTTTTTTGAGTCTGTTCATGCGTGACAAGTTGTATATTTGCTTTCTGCCCTTCTGATTCTGTTCCTCACCCACTTTTCAGTATTTTCCTATCTAGTATGTATTGCCAAAGAGGTCGTCGCATGCCTCATCAGCTGGTAAAGGAGAAAGGCTAGCCTGTGTCCTGGCACGTGCCAACAGATCGGAGCTTGGCATGGCAGTTGAGGCTTCCCCTTCAGGTCTGCCTGCATGGATTGTGGTGTCTGGACTGAGTCCTCTCTGAGCTCCTTTTCAGGCTCGCCTAGTAGAGGGCCCTGAGCAGGTGTGTCTCTATTTAATAATAACCGTCCCTTAAAAGACAGACATGAGATGGTTGTCCTGCCATCTCTGAGCATGTGCGGCGGTGTCGTGAGCTGTTGGGACAGAAAGCATGTTGATGGGCAGCTGGGCTGCAACCTGGTCATTCTTAGTCTCTTTTGGATTCATCCTCTGCAGCTCCAAACCACCCCCTCTTAGCATTGGATTGAATTAGATGAAACTGAAGGAAACGGATTTGAAGTAAGCATTTCTTGAGATTCTACCTTATTATGCTTATGCTGGACTGTGGAAGTGGTGAGACGTGGCCCCTGCCTTTCCCTAGCCGACAGTCATATTGGGAAGATGAGACGTTAGATAATTCTGAGCGTGTGGAACAATGATGTCACACTGCAGGATTATAGTAAGTGGGAAAATGTGTCTAAATCCACTTGCTGCCTTTTCCGTTTTAGAAAAAATAAAATAGGGGCAGCTAGGTGGCACAGTGGATAGAGCACCGGCCCTGGATTCAGGAGGACCTGAGTTCAAATCTGGCCTCAGACACATGATACTCACTAGCTGTGTGACCCTGGGCAAGTCACTTAATCCCATTGCCTAGCCAAAAAAAAAAAACCCAACAAAAACCAAACAAACAAACAAACAAAAAAAAAAAAACAAAAAAATAAAATAGAAAAACAGAGGCGGCAGAACTCAGTGGGAGTTGTAGAATCAAGAAAACTCCATGGAAGTGGTGGTGATATGGTGATCCATGCGTTGGGGATTCAGGTCTCTGCAGGCAGCAGGGTATGATGAAAAGAACAGTGGTTGGGAACTTTTCAAACACTTTGGTTGAAACTCGGAAGCATGGAATCACTCTCAGATTTGGGAGGGCACTCACAGGCTGTGTTGTCTCGTGTTCACATGACAGACATCCTGCTTCCATGGTCCCAAGCCTTTTCTTTAGTGCCTTTGGGGAGGAGCGGTTGACCAGTTCACTGTGCAGTCGCTCATGTGAGGTGTCGCTCTGATCTTTAGGGAGTTTTCCCTTATGTTGACCTGGGGGCTGCCTCTCCATAATCACTTCCTCTCCTTGCTCCAAGTTCTGCCATCCAGGGGCAGGCAGAACAAGCCTTGGCCTCTTTTGAAGGACAGCCTTCATCTCTGTGGGGATAGTTATTCTTCCTTCCCAGAGTTGTTTTCTCTCTGGGCTGAAAACCCCTTGGTTGTTGTCTGTTGGGAGGAGGAGACCTTTCTTGGTCTCCTTGCTACCTGTTCCCTTCCTGGATTCTCTCCCCCCCTTATCAAGCTCCTTTCTCAAATGTGGTGCCCAGACCTGAGCCCAGTGCTGTGGGGAAGGTCCGTGGCAAGCAGATGGTGGCAGGCCTGTTCCTTCCCTTAGTGGCTGAGATAGCCAAGTATCTCGACTCTAACACATAGTTTTCTTACTTAAGTTGAAAAAAATTATTTTTTTAAAATTTTGAACTTAACAACAACAAAAAAAGAGCATTTTCTATGAAACTGTGAATCTTTATTTCATGTTACTTTCAGAACGTCCTGCTTGTCTGTGCTTCCCTCTTAGTTTCCTTTGGGTCTTTTCTGTGCCGATCACATGTTTTTTCAATAGTCCCTCTCTGTATTACCTACCTCTGCTTCTTCTCCTCACCCCAATTAAAAACTGAAAGGAGGAAAAAAAAACCCCCACCTTTGTAACAAATAAGCACGGTCAATCAAAATGAATCCCCATGTGGTCGTGTTCAAAAACGTTGTTTTGCTGCACTTCGAGGCCATCACCTCTGGCAGGAGATGGGCGACATGCTTCATTACTGTCTGCCCTCCAGAGAAGTAGTAGCTGGCTCACCGCATGGAGCAGACTTCTGAAGGCTTCCCCACGAGGCTGCTGTCCTTGTATATGTTCTTCTCCTGTTCTGCTGGCTGCCCTCTGGATCCCATCCTACTACCCAGCGTTCTTGGTGTGGTCTAGTTCTTCATTTCTTACACCACAATAATATTCCATTACATTAATAGATATAGTTTATTCATTCATTCTCCATAAAATGGGCACTACCTTAGATTCTAGGTCTTGACTTTTTTTATTCTCCTTGCCACCCCCCAGTACCCCCTTCAGGATCAGGAAGTTTGTTTTGCTTGAAACTGCTCTTCCTGATATAATCTTTCTCCACAACTCCCCCTTCTCATTCCCACTTGTTTCCTTGTTCAGTCTGATGTGTTTCTGCACCAGACCGTGTGTTTGTGCACACACGCAGCTCTCCGAGGTTAATCTGGTGACCATACTCCTTACCCCTTCCTCTGTCATTGTCTGCTCTTCTTACCTCAGTGATGAAAAATAGCAAATTCAACCCCCTTCTTTTCTATCCTAGTTTATTCTGTTTACTCTCTCCCTTCTCTTTTCCCTCAGACCAAAAGCAGTCTGCACTATGTCCTCTGTTTTTCTTGGTTAGTTCTCCCTATATGTTTGAAGACTGAAGGTCTGAAGGGGCACTTGTTTCTTTCCCTCCTGTTCAGCATCATACAGCCCCTTCCAACAGCTCAAATAAATATTTTTGACTCTTGTGTTTGCATGTCAAGTTTCTCCTCAGTTCTAGTCTTTTCATCAGAAATACCTATAAATCCTCTCTTCTACTGAAGGTCCATTTTTGCCCTACAGGATTATGCTCAGCTTTTCAGGCTAAGTTTTTCTTGGTTTTAAGCCTGTTTCTCTTGCCTTTTGCAATATCGTATTCCAAGATCCCCTCTCATTTTTAGTAGAAGACAACAGGTCTTATGTGATCCTGTCCGTGACTCCTTGATGTGTGAACTGCTTCTTTCTGGATGCTAGCAGCATTTTTTCTTCGATGTGGACACAAGACAAAATGAAAAAGTCCTTGTACGTGTTCTGCATTTATTGGTGTAATAATGTGGTTTGACTTATTGATATGTCATATTAATTATTTGGCTGATACTGAACTAACCTTATATTCCTTGTGTGTATACACACACACACTCTATTTAGTAATAGTATATAATTTTTTTTTAAAGTGCTCTTTTCTCTTGCCAATATTTATTTACTGGGGTGTGTGTGTTGTGTGTATTATCATTTATTATATTAGCCTGTAATTTTTTTTTCACCTTTATCTTTTCCAGGTTTTGAGAGACTCCGCATTTGTAAAATACCACCTTTCTGTATATTTAAAAACAGTCCATCTTAATGGTTTCCAACCTTTTGTGTATGATGACTCCATTTTAATGTTAAAAAAACTTTATGTATGCGTAATACTTATATTATATATATTATATATAATAATTATATAATATTATATAATTATATATTATAATTATATATTATATATTATATAATATATATTATATTATATATATAATATATAATATATATTATATATATAATTACTTAATACATAAATACTTATACGTATTTATAATAGTGATGGTTGAGAAAATGCATAGTGAAGAGAAGTCTGAATTTGTGGGCCCCGTGCAATAACCCAGGCCACATGTTGAGTCCATGTAATATAGGGATCACTTATTCTTTGGAGGCAGAGGAATTCTATCAACTAGCTCAGTGGGTTGTCTATCCAGTTTGTGTCATAATCTGGATAATATGTATTTTTCATCCACTTTTTTTGTATATGTGGATGACCAAACTAGTACATTTCTGCTTTTTTTTCAATTTCACTGAAGAGGCTTTGTAGTGTTCCTGGGTTACAACGTGAGTATAGTGTCATTTGTGATGAAAACTAGTCATGTCATTATTTCTTTCTGCTTGCATCAAATAATACATAAAATATCACATGTATCATTTTGTAGACTAAAAGTAGATAAACCTTACATCCTTCAGAATTTACTAACTTCTCGTGATTGTCTGCATGATCGTAAGTATTTGT